TTAAAATTAAAAAATTTAACAATGTCATCATTTTTCGCCAGATGGATATTCCACGTAATTTAATAAAAAAACAAAATTAATTTTTCCGTTAATTAACGTGCCACCTCAGCCAAAATTTAACGGAGGGACTAAAAAGGAGCCGGATTTGTAAACAGTAAGGACCAAAAAGGGAATTTTTTCGGTACAGGGACCAAAAAAGGGCTTTTTCCTATAGTAGAGGGACCAAAAAGGGTATTAAACCTACTAAATTTAACATTTTTCAAAAGTTTAGGGTTAGCTTGTCAACAGAACGAATTCTGTTAGTTAGTTAACGGAATGTTTGCTAAGTAAACCATTTTGAAACAAAATTGATAGTTTATAGATCATTTTGAAAGAAAAAATTATTTCTGAACTAAATTGAAATAAATCACATAATTAATAAACTATTTATTGATTTTAGTCGTGAGTGGGAGATTCTTTTTACTACTCAAATTGTCATATTAAAAATAATATAATTTAGACAATAAATTAAATAATTTAGTAATAATTTTTTTTTACGTACGTAGTAAGATTTAAATTCGAATTATATAACATACTGTAATCCCAGCTAGCTACCCCTCAATTCCTAAAATATAAAACTCATTTATTTTCCTTTATAAAAATGTGAATTAAGTTTTCAATATATATGTATAATCTGTTGTGCAAAATAAAATAGAAATCAACTGCAATCTTGCAAATAAAGTGTAGAAAAATAAAAAGAAAGAGAAGAGAATATCAAGCCGTGATTTATAGTGGTTATTCTAATCCGAAGTACATCCACTCCCCAAACCTCCTTACTCGAGAGTTCAATCCACTAGAAATCTCTTGCTTACAGATGCAAGATTAACCAGAACAAACTCTTGCTTGCAGGTGCAAGATTAAACCCCCACAAGTGAATCTCAACTTACTCAACCCCTTCAAGGATTATCCCAATCCAAGAAGAATACAAAATCCTTGTAAGACAATTAACCCAAAAGCTCACAAGAAGAGAAGAAGAAGGAGATCCAGAACAGTTTCAAACTCTGTTTTCTGTAGCAGTTCGTCCTTCTTCGTTCATCTATTCAGATCTGATTTTATGATCTATTTAATAGTAGGTTTGGAGCATTGAAATTAAAGTCCATTTAACCCTTCAAAGCCACCCCACAAATGCTCTAATTAGATTCCACCTTATTCTACTAACTTTGACTTGACCTTGGAAAGTGCTCAGACAATGGTTCCCCCAAGGCTCATTAAGAATAAGAATAAACGGATAGATGAGCTGTCAAAATTTAACCTTTCAAAATTTTTTGCTTCGAAGCCAAAAATAATTGTTTGTACCATTTTCAAAAAAAGAAGTTCGGGATTGGTTTGAACCAAATTAAATTGATTCGAACCCAGAATTCTGAACAAGAGGAACATAAATTAATTTTAATCGTGGGAAAAGATTAAAATCCTTGAATTAATTTTCCTGCACACTTAGTACAAACATAAATTAAACTCTTTTGAATCATAATTTTAAATCATCATCAAAATACAAAGAAAACCTAACACATATGAATGGAGTAATATTAAAAAAATAAAAAAATTATCTTTTATTACACAATTTAAAATTAAAAAAAATAATATAATTTAATT